TCTTCGGGAAAGGGTTAAAAAGCTATGCCGGCCAATAACGAAGGAGGGGGAAAGAAAGTCATAGTAAAGGAAAAGAAGAAGTATGTGTCCATTTTTAAACTAATGTGAGATTTTATTCGTCCCCAACGCCAGTGTTCAGGTTGAGAAGGGTTTGGGACTGGGCAAGGCAGGGTTGAATGAAATAATTCTATAGAAATGGAAGAGAAGAGAATCCCCATAGAAATCAGAAAACCCTCCCTAACAAAGAAACAGAATTTCTGGAGGATGAGGCCCAGAAATCAGGATTTTAAAAAGATTCCCAGGTGATTCTAATGTGCAGCCAAGGTTGAGAACCACTGCCATAGAGGGCAAGAGGAAGAAAAATAGTTAGTGAATAAAAGAAGTGTGTCTGAATGTCGGCTGGGATTTAGCAATGGCTACAGTGTAATGGAAACCCAGGTTTCTAAGGAGACTGCGCATCGGTGTCAAATGCAGAGCGCAAATAGAAGAGGTCTGGGAGGCAGCGGCTGAACCGGGTGTTAGGAACTAATTTAAGACGCAGGGCCGATCTGGGGATTGTGCTCTAAATGCAAATCTGGGAACTATCTATACACAAGGAAAAATTAAGGACATACAAGAGGGAGCAAAGTGAATGTCGGGAAGTAACTTCAAAGTGCCTGAGAAGGTGAAAAAGCCCGAAGACTGACAAAGCCACTGGCTTGGTGGGCAGGACGTCGCTGGTGGTTCCCGTTGAGAGCCACGGAACGGGATGGCTCCTCTTCGAGTTGTACATTTGTGAATTACAAACCCATGAGAACACATAATTTTTTGCAGAAGGGCCTGTTCCACATGGTGACTACAGTACCATGGGAACTGAATTATCAAAGCTACTATTTAATGTAACAAAATAGGGACGGAAACATTCAGGAGCCGGGTGTGCTCATTCCAGCAGAGAACCACAAGTCTCATGAAATAGGCCAGCCTCAAAAATGCGCAGGGAGTGCAGAGTGAAAAACTAGACACGTCCTCCTCACCCAGCACATATGCCGTGCGCGCTCACCACCCCAGAGCGAATGCTTTAGTCTAGCGTGCTTCCTGAGTTACACCGGAGCACGGACTGTGTTAGACCCAGACTCTTACATCCTTTCTTTCACAGGCAAGATACTCAATTCATTGTGTAAGGGGAGTTTCAGAGGCCCCTGCAAAGTTCTGGCACTGCTGGTGTGGCGCCTCTGCATGGTCCATCCAATGTTTTTCATGACACGCATGTGCATTGGTAACGACTGGGCAGCTGGAGGACCATCCCCGCGGCCTCTGGAGGCTGCTGAGGGAAGGTGAGTGACAGGCGGGGCAGGGCTGCCACGCGCACATTGCAGACATACGGGAGGATGGAGCTCCTCTCCACCCACCGTGCAGCTCAGTTTAGTCTACAACAATTCATCCTTGCTCTGTTCTCTGTTTCTGTTCTTCACCACGAACCATGGGGCTATGCAGCTGCGCTCCAGACAGGGCTCAACAAAGCTTTCTTTCCTTTCATGGAAAGGCAGTTACATTCGTCAGGAAGGAGAGAGAATTCCAACCTCTCGAGCCAAGAGGTGAGGCTGAAGGAATTCCATGTCTTTTAATTTCTGGAATCTGCGACGAGGCCGAGTGGCAAACTGCAGGCACACTCACACCTAGTTGGCTTTTAAACTGCGTCCTGTTTCTCATTTCTAACTCATCTTCACTGAAACCTAAAAGCTTTTCAGTGGGTTGGATGGTGAACATTTGTTGTCTCCTCAGCTGGGGACAGCAGTTGATTTTTCTCACACAAAAAATTACTGTGGAAAGTACGCTGTGGGCAACTCAGAAAGTGATCGCTAGGGTCTCATCTTAAAGTAAAAAACAGGACAACTTCACCGATAAGTTCTGAATTCTAATAGGCTTTGTCCATGTGGTTACTATTTGATTCTCCCCATGCTCGTGGATGGCCCCTTATGCAGGTACCACATCTGCTTAAGAGTTAAAACAAGTGTCCTCCCCAGCCATAAACAAGATTTTCAGAGGCGATTCTGGGACCGCTGAACGGGCTCTATGTAATGAAAACAGAAAGCTGAACCCCATGAAACACCAGTTCAAAGGCTAGACATATCAAACACACAGATTTCCCAGGGAGAAAAGATTCCTAAAAATGTCACCGAGAAAGAGAATAACGAAGCAATAAAAGGCAAAGCGTTTTGTGATATTCAGTCCACGCAGCCTGGTTGGCAGGCCTCGATCTGTCTTCACCTGGTGCTGGTTTACGTTTAGAGTGGAACTGGCTAAAAATAAACCTCAGAATCCTAGATGGTCTGAAGTAGCCACACGGCCTTCGCTTCAAATCACACACCATTTCTGACATAAAAAAAAGCAGCAGTTGAGTACGTGAGAGGCCTCTTCCTCCAGAAGTGTAGGCTCTGATGTCACCACAATGTCATCACTCACATTCCAGGCCAGAGTTACCTAGAAATCCTCCCAGCACTTCCTATTGGACCTCCTGGCCTCTTGGTCCTAAACTCACATACCCTGTGTGGTAGACAGAACAATGATGTCTACATCCTCAACCGTGGAACCTGTGACTTTAAAGTAGGGAGACTATTCTGGGGTATCAGGTAGGTTCCATGTGATCACAAGGGACCAGGGTTAGAGGTGTGATGACGGTACCAGGCCAGAGAGATGCGATTTCACTGGATTTGACAACGGAGGATGAGGGCTGAACGCTGAGGAATGTGGGTGGCGCCTAAAAACTGAGAATAAAAGGAAAGAAAAGCCAGCATCCCGCTGATGACCCCTAGCTTTGAGTCCACCCATACTGGATGTCTGACCTATAGGACTGGAACACAGTAAGTCTGGGTCGTTGACGCCACTGACTGTGTGGTAATTCTTATGGCTGCGGCAGAAAACAAAACGCTGTAGGAAGTGGGGATGCTTCACCTCAGGCACTCCTCTCCGGCGCTAGGAGATGGTGCCTGGCTTTCTCTGGCAATAAAACCAATTCATTTCCTTTTTTTCTAGTTAAACTCCAGATTCCAGCAGAGTGCTAATCCTCAGAAAAGATGATATATAATAGCACAGCATCTTCTAAATTTGAGTGTGGGGGCGGGAGGAGGAAGGAGGTACAGTGGGAGAAGTTAATCTTTCTTTTTTCCTCCCATTTGCTTTCAGAGAGATGTAACACTATTGTTAGAAACACACTCCCTTTCTAGTGGACCTGCATTAATGTGGTTTGAAAATCTGCCTTTTCAGTTTCTCTACTCTTTTTTTCCCCTCCAAAATACCTCTGTGTGCTGTGAATGTTTGGATAATCTGAGATGATCTAAATGGAAAGAATTTTAGCTCCCAAACCATGTAGTTTTTCGTACTATGCCCTCAATCAATCCAGATAAGATTTGGTAATATTTAATACATAGCAACAGCAAACAGTCCTGAATTAGAAGATGAATAATTTAATTAGCGTGCTAGGACTTGGGATAGCTGATGTAAGAACATTAAAAGATTTTACATTCGATTATTTATGGGGTATTCTTTTTCATTGCTGTTTGTATGCTAGCTTTATTTTAATTGGAGAAAGATAGCAAGAGATCCTCTGAGTAAGTTAAGGTACTATGGATCAAGAACCCATTTATGTAAAGATTTTTCAGGATCCTCTTGGGGTGAGGACATCACTAAACTCCAGGCCTAAGAGAAATGAGTCTGTGTGAGGCCCTGTTTCAGTCCCTTTGCCCCAAATGACCAGAAAATATTTCTCTACCAAGAAAACAAATGAGTCGTCAGACCAAATGAGTGGTGAGAACACCCAAAACCTGGTGGTGGGGTGTGATTTCATCAGGAGCACATACCAGAAGAAGAGATGGTTTAACCCACCAAATAAAATTAAAAATAGAACAGGAACACTTACCCTCATGTCTCCGTTCACAGTTTTTGGCGTGTGATTGAATGCATGTGCAGGATCCTTGTTGTACACTTTGAGGAGCGATCTGTCCTGAATGTTTCTGGAATAAAAAACATCAATAACTATGGCAGACGAAAGGAGCCTTACTTTGGCCATTTTCTTTGTCTGCCCATAAGAATCAGGTAAAAGACAGCAGCAGACAATCCAGCTGTTGTCCACAAGCAACCAGACAAAAGTTCTTTTACCACAGAATAGGCAAAAATAAATAAGGAAAATAAAAATGACTTCAGTTTTTCTTTCCTTTTTTTTCTCTTTTGTTCTTTCTGTGTAGTTTACCATCCATAGATAGAGGGTGGCATCTTTTAAGATGGTGAGCAAAGAAAGGTAACACTTAAAGAAACAGTAACGCTCTGATATCTACAACATGTTCCAAGAGATTTGGTTAATATTTAAATATTTAATTGCTTACTTTACCCAAACACCCATTTTTCTGCTTATCACATGAATGCACACGAGCAAAAAATGTTTTTCCCCCTCCAAACAGTTTCAGCAAGGAAAAGAATATCTATTTGCAGCCCAGACCAAAAGCAAGTACCACAAAGATCAAAACTAGTATCTTTACAATGCCTTTTTTTCTTCCACAATGGGTTTTAAAAAATACTTTTCTACATACAAGTTGAATGAGTGGATGCACAGGGTATTGAGAAGGAATAACTGCAGATCAATTCTTCCACCTGTCTCTCTCTCCTTCTGAACCCAGCATTTGGAGCTGGGGAGTCAGTCACACCCCAGCAAAGAACAGAAGTCCCACACCTTTTCTCAGTTCCTACCTTAACATTATTTAAGACCATATGAGTTGTCTACGAAGTCCTTTTCCCTTCATATTCATATTTCGTCAGCAGAAGGGCCACCCAAGGCCCTCTCAGCCTGGCCTGCATGGTGATTCCTTCCAGGGCCAGCGCAGGGAGTAGGGGGCGGGGATGGGGGTAGGGGGGACGATGTGTGCAGGAGGACACATTCCTTTCCTCCAGGTGCAGCCACACGTTTTGTGGGCTGATCGCAATCACCGGGATTACTGGGTTATGTTTTTGTTTTAAACGGAGTGGAGAATTCTTGGACCAGTCTTGCTTCCCTCTTTTAAATACCCGTCAGTAATTGCTTTGAAGCAGTGACTAGCCCAAGCTTGCACCATGGCTCCAGGTTTCAAGTAGCTCATTAGAAGTCAGCTTAGGGGGGAGTGTGCGGTCCTTGTTATTAAGGGGCTAGGTTACTCTGAAGGGGGAGTTCACAGAAGGTGAGAATGTGGGGATTCACTAAAGGAATTCACCCTGTAGCTTCGGGGAAAAGTCACAGTAATGATGTGGAGAAACCGAAAAACAAACTTGAGCCACGAAAAAAAACCTGGTGTGATTCTAAAGGTATTTAAAGTACCTTGGTTTATAATTAATTTAGAAACATGTTCATCCAAGATGAACCAACACCAAAGGCCCAGATTGCATTTACCATGGCAACATTTACAACACAGCATTTGAACCTGAACTCTCGGTGGCATTTCCCTAAGGAAAATATGGAGAACCCAACACAATGATGAAACAGCCATCCTTGTAACAAATATATTCTTACTTCAAAAAATACTGAAGAATGTAAAATGAAATTTGTCTCTGGGTTCAGATTAAAACCATTGACTTCATTTAAAATCCACATGGTACATTTTTTTTGGAGGGGAAAGATGTTTTATATAATGGTAATGTTGAGAATTTATTCGATCATTCAGATAAGATATACTTGAAGCATTTTATGCATAAAAGCAAAGAAATAGAATAATTATTTGGAAAGGATAGATACATACATATATACTAGAGGCCCGGTGCACAAAAATTTGTGCACTGGGGGGGGGGGGAGAGAGGCGGTCCCTCAGCCCATCCTGTGCCCTCTCGCAGTCTGGGAACCCTCAGGAGATAATGACCTGCTGGCTTAGGCCTGCTCCCGGGTGGCAGAGGGCAGGCCCAATCCCTAGGTGCAGCCCCTGGTCGGGCTCAGAGCAGGGCCGATTGGGGAGTTGGGGCGCCGCCCCCTGTCATGCACAGAGCAGGGCGGATCGGGAGGTTGCGATGCCACCCCTAGTCACGCTCAGGGCACAGCCGATTGGGGGGTTGGGGCACCGCCCCCTGTCACACTCAAGGCAGGGTCGATAGGGAAGTTGCGGTGCCACCCCCTGTCACGCACAGAGCAGGGCCGATCAGGGGGTTAGGGCATTGCCCCCTGTCATGCACAGAGCAGGGCCCATCAGGGGGGTTGGGGCTCCGTACCCTGTCACACACAGAGCAGGGCCGATAGGGGAGCTGGGGCACTGCCCCCTGTCACACACAGAGCCGCAGGGCGATCAGGGGGTTTGGGCTCTGCCCCCTCTCACGTTGATCCTGGTGCTGGGAGGCATATTACCCTTTTACTATATAGGATAGAGGCCTGGTGCAGGGGTGGGGGCTGGCTGGTTTGCCCTGAAGTTGTCCTGGATCAGGGTGGGGGTCCCCACTGGGGTGCCTGGCCAGCCTGGGTGAGGGGATGATGGCTGTTTGCAGCTGGTCACACACCCTTCAGGGTGGGGGTCCCCACTGGGGTGCCTGGCCAGTCTGGGTGAGGGGCTGAGGGCCGTTTTCAGGCTGGCGGGTGACTGAAGCTCCCAACCGCTCCTTTTTTTTTTTTTTATTCTGGGCCAGCTTTAGCTCTGAGGCCTCGGCTGCTGAAAGCAAGTTTCTGGCCTTTGTTTACCTTCTGTATTTGAAACAATGTTGTGGTCCTCCTGGCTGAAGCCTGGCTGATTAAAGCAGGTTTCTGGGGTTTGGTTTAGTGTCTATATTTGTTACAATGTTTCTTAGAGTTGCAGCTCAGAGCCCACAGTGGCAGGCGGGGAAGCTTGGCTTCCTCCGTCACTGAAGCAAGCAAGCCTCCCTGTTCTCTTCAAGCTGCCTGGCTGCCGGCCACCATCTTGGCTGGCAGTTAATTTGCATATCGTCCTGATTAGCCAATGGGAAGGGTAGCGGAGGTACGGCTAATTACCATCTTTCTCTTTTATTAGATAGGATAAGTGCATGTCTCTAGTACTAATACTTTGTTGGTGTTGTCGTTGTTTAAAAAACAAAACAAAAACAAGGTTA